GTGAATATAATAGAACCAGGGGCATGGAAAGGGAGTGGACTGACAATTCTTGGGGGGAAAGGGGTGTGGGGGTGCAGGAAGAGACTGGACAAAAATCATACACCTATGGATGAGGACAGTGGGAGGGATAAGGGCAGAGGGTGGGGTGGGAACTGGGTGGAGGAGAGCTATGGGGGGGAAAAAAGAGGAACAAATGAAATAATCTAATCAATAAAGATTTAATTTAAAAAAGAAAGGAAGAAAGAAAGAAAGAAAGAAAAGACTGGAGACCCAATTTTAGAAGAGAAAGGAGGGTGGTGGTGGAATAATGGAGTAACCAGCACCAAGCCTGGTAGGCCATGTCTTGGCAGAGTACCATGTCTGCCTCTTTGTTTCCAGAATTCTGACCACACACACACACACACACACACACACACCCCTCCACCTCGCCCTACCTATAAGCACCATTCCCTATCTCCCTAACCCCCTTTGGTGTACTACACACCAGTCACCTTTGCCTCATGAAAATTCATAAAAGAAATACCCACCCTAATTCAAGGCCTTTACACATGCTGTTTTCTTTCCCCTGAATGCTCTTCATTCTTCCCATGGCTGGCTTCTTTTCAGTTTTCCAGATCTCAGTTTAAATCCCCCTGCCCCCAAGGTTGTCCTTACCCCTCTAAATAGGCCCAGTGGTTACCTTCCATCCCAGCACCTTGTTACTGCCCCACAGTGTTAATAACTGAGTTAATTAAGCAAGTGCTTGTTTGTTGTTTGTCTCTCCCATTATAAGGTAAGCTCCCTAAGGGCAGGGAAATGTCTGTTTTGTGCCCAGAATACAATAGGTGCTTAATATGTATTGACTAGTTGCTCAAGCCAAATCATCCCTTTATATTACCCCCACATCCAATGCAGTAGGCCTTCTTGGCTCTACTTTCAAGTGTATCCCCAAATCTGCCCCCATTTCTTGCCACCCTTACTGCCACAGACCCATCTACCACTGGCTGGCACCTTGAATAACATCCTCCTCCTCCTTTACTTCTGCTCTTGCTGCCTTCAAGCTACTCTCCCCATAGCAGGCTGGTTATGTCACAATTTTGCTGTAAACTTCTTATGACACATAATCAACTCTAAAGCCCTTGTCATGACTTATAAGACGCATGTGACCAGGCATCTGTTCCCTTTTGGACCACATCTCCAAACGCTCTTCCCTCTCCCACTTTTTTCCAGACCTCTTTCCTACTGCTCCAAATCCCAGGCACCCCCAGGGCCTTCCTATTGGCTTTTCTTTGTGTCTGAAATGCTTTCTAGCTACCCCTGTGAAAGCCCTCCCCTAAAAAGCCTATTACATATGGAATCCTGCCTGCGCTGCCACAGACTACTCCTACAAACTATCTTTTTAACTATAAATGTGTTTAATTATAAACACATTTTATACTGTATTTTAAAAAATTTTTATTTTGTGAATAAATAATGATGTGGTTCAGAATTCTAAAATTAGACAGAAAGGGAGAAAAGTCTCTTACTCCTGTCCCAAAGCCACCCAGCTCCTCTCCACACAGATGACAAAAATTGCTGTTTTGTGTGTATGCTCCCTGATAAAGTGTAAGCATGCAAACAAAAATTTACATGTATGTGTATCTATAAGTTTATCCTTTTTAAACCTTTTTATAAGCATACACTATGTATGTATGTGTCACCTATCCAATCTATCTTTTTATGTGCTTTTTTATCAAATGGTAGCATACTTGAAAACAGACACAAAACTTGAGCCAAATTAAGCAGAGATAAGGTTGAATCATATATAAGTGTTTATTCCAATAATGCCGGCAGTATGGAGAGAGCAGCAGGTCATCCTGTAAATTCTGCTCTAACCTCCCCTACTAGCTGCCTGATTATCTATATTCACTGAGTGGCCAGATTATTATGACCGGCCAGATTATTATGACCACCCCATCAGTACTTCATTGACACTTCCAAAAATACTGAATATTGAAAACTTCCTAAGCAAATACTCTCAAGGTCTTATTATTATTATTATTTGCATAACTAATTCACTTCATTGTACTGATGGGGTGGTTATAATAATCTGGCCAGTCATAATAATCTGGCCACTCAGTGTATATAAAAGGCTAATATGCAAAGTGTCCTCTCAGGAGTTTGACCGACCTGGAGTTCGATTGCTTGCTATGACGTGCGCTAACCACCAGGGGGAAGTGCGGAATGAAGGAAGGCCCTGGCCAGCAGCTGGAAGCCCCTGATCAGCCCTGATTGGTGGCCAGGCCTAGGGACCCTACCTGTGCACAAAGTTCATGCACTGGGCCTCTAGTATATGGATAAGGAAGAAAGGCTATATGCCAAGGGAGAGTGGGGCAGGATAAGGGCTGCAGGGTCCATGGTCTGTGTGTCTCCTTCCATGAACTTGAAGACTGATAACAAGGTAATTTTCTTTTTTTAAAAAATTTTTGTCATTGATTTCAGAGAGTAAGGGAGAGGGAGAGTGAGATAGAAACATCAATGAGGAGAGAGAATCATCGTTCAGCTGCCTCCTATATGCCCCTAACTGGGGATTAAGCCACAATCTGGGCATGTGCCCTGACCAGGAATCGAACCATGACCTCCTGGTTCACAGGTCGATGCTCAACCATCAAGCCACAGTGGCCAGCAGAGCAATTTTCTATGATGTTAAAAACAGCTCTGCCATTCCTGTGACTGGAGAATGGTCAGCATTCCTGAAGGAAACTCCTAGAGGGGGTCAGGGTCCAGGTATAGGGAACCAAATCAAAGCATCTCCTGTCCTTTGTCTGTTCTCAAAATGTATTTTCTTTTCTGAGTAATGTATCCATCTGGGCTCTGAGGCATCTTTTATCTTTTTATAGCTCTGTTTTTCTCCTTGCAACACAGCCTCCAGTTTC